AGACGGGCACCACTAATGGGACAACGCTTGGACCGGACGGTCAGCCGATCGGCAAAACCAAAACAACGGCCAAACGCGAGAAAGACAGCTCTCAGGGCAGTAAAGACAGCAGCGAAAAGCGCCGACAGGAGAGGTTCAAGAAGACCCGATCGGGCTCTAGTCGGTCGGTGCACTTCACCACCACAGCCCCTACCGCTGCCGATGGGCCGCAAACACCGGCCACACCTGTGACACCCGGGGCTGAGAAGTTGAAAGCGGCCAAAAAACTATTGGGCGGCTCCTGCGACTGGAGCCCATACGGGTGTCACATGCATCCAGACGTGTCGGACTTTCCCAAACCACGGCTCGACTCACTACCCGCCGACCCCCTGACCAAAGGTGAACAATATTACATCGATTTGGCGGGTAATATACGTAAGGGACCGGTCGGCCGGACCAACCGGTGCTACTGTAAGCCACTCATTGAGGGCGTGGAGAAGCGCATGGAGGCGGACAAGCGGGAGCTGATTGAGCACATCGACTACGCCCACGAGAATCTGACCAAAAAGATCGGTTCGCTCGAGAAGAAGACACACAACCAGTTGGTGTCACTCAATGAGGCGGTGCACCAGAAGTTGGCCACTGAGAGGCACGAGTGCGCCGATCGGGTCCAACGCACTGCTCTCCGCGAGCGTATCGATAGCCAAAGGTTGCAGAGGTTGCAAATGGATCAGCTCAGGGGTGAGGTTAAGTCATGGCTCGCCCCTAAGGCTGACCCCCGTATTGGCCGCAGTTCGCCGGCTCTGTTGGAGAGGTCTGGCGGCGGCGGTCATCGACCCGGAACAGCTGATGGTGATAACCAGAATCGCAATCCCTATCGCGCGGGTAATGGTGTGCAGCACCAGAATCCGTACGCCAACGGTTACCATCATCACAGCTACCATCAGTCCAACCATCAGCGGCCACACCATCCCAATGGACACCATCCGCAGCCAATGCAACGCTCGACGAGTCACCAGAACGTACCGGCGCTGCCCTATGCTGTACGTCAACCCCCGACGACGGCGGCGGCACCCGATAGGCCACCGAATCGCTTGAGTCGCCCGACCGACGATTGTCTCGTTCCCGGCGCCGCCGATAGTCACCGTCGAAACGCCGGCCACCGTATCGTCAGATCCAAGTCTGATATGTATTTAACGGGAAGTGTCGGCTCCGGTAGTGATGACGACGACGACGAGGAAGAGGATGACAGGGAAGCGGCGGATGACAGAGAAGAAGAGGTAGAGAACAGGGAGGCGGCAGATGAGGAGGAATCGGAGCATTACTTCAATGGGTCCACGTCTGGCGTTACCGTCAAAGCCATAAGAGTTGGTAACAATCCGGACGTCAATGACATTCATGTGCCAAACGATAGCAAAACGACTGGCGCTGATGAGCACCGGGTGGTCGCCGCCGAAGACGAGGCGGACACCAGTAGTGGTCAGGACAGCGATCGACGACAGCCGGTGTACGGCTCGGAGGCGCCGGTCGACCAGCGCTCGGAGTTTGAGAAGTTGGGCGCCCGACCCAAACACCCGCCACAACCACTTCCTCCACAACAGTCGCCGTCACCGCAACAGCCGCTGACAATCCGCACCAGTAGTGACACGATTAACGACTTGGCCAGCGGTCAGGTGTCGTCTGTGGAGCTGAACAGCGCCGGCAGTTCGCTGGAGATGAGCGGACACAGCGGCGACAAACCACTGTCGCACGACTCGGATCAGATCAGCGCCGATATTAGTCTCTCAGCCGACCTCATGAAGACCTTGCGGTGCAATGGCTCGACGCCGGGCGCCGACCACTCGGCCGCCGTCTCCGCCGACTCGCCGTTCAACGACTCCGGCTATCGGACAAAGTTCTCGCCGTCGCCCCGGGAGGTGGCCATGCGATCGGCGGCTATGGCTGGTCTTCCCGTCGGTCCCGTCGGCCCCGTATATCAACGACATATCGCATATCCATTACACTCACAGCAACACCACATACAGTACGGCCAGGCGTTTGATCCGCCCATAGGTCTGCCGACACACATCCCGTCGGCTCACATTCCCGGCCATAGTGTCCGCAAAATGCAGATACCGTTCACAAACAACAGGTCATACAACGGACCCAACTCTAGTTTGGTTTGAATTATATACAGTATATTCACTGTATATATACATTATGTGTGTTTTGATTGCAAATATATAATTATATTTACATTAGATTTTGTGTATATTTTGTGTTATTATAATTATTAATGATATGTATTTTAAAAGTTACTTAATATATAATATATAAATATAATATAATGAAAGAGAATATTTAGTTATATATTATTATAATTATAGATTGTATATCTGTATTGTATATGTAATTAACGCCAGATTTTTAGTTCTCAAACCAAATATAATAAAAATTATATTTTAAACCCTTATTTTGGTTGCAATTTATTTATTTAAATTTTACGCCAAAAGGCATGCTTTTGTTAGGTTCAGTCATATTCTGGAAATATTTTTAACTCAAACTTTCCTCAACTCTAAATGTATAGCAAAAAGTGCTTGAATTTCACACTAAAAATGAATGCTTTTTGAGATTCAGTCATATTCTGGAAATATTTTAACTCAAACATTTCTCAACTCTGAATGACTAGCAAAAAGTGCTTGAATTTGATACTAAAAATGTATGCTTTTTGAGGTTCAGTCATATTCTGGAAATATTTTTAACTCAAACTTTCCTCAACTCTGACTGTAAATGAAACAGCGTTTGAATTTTAATCTAAAATTGATTCACTGGAAGCGATAGACTATTATTTAAAATAAAATTCTTGACATTATTCCCAATATATTCACAAAATGTATACTAATTTCTGGTAAGAAATAAATATATTATTTAAATACTATTAATATAGTCAAAAATATTAAAGGTTTAATAATAACTAACATTATGGTTATTATTACACCAGATGTTCCGCGCTAAAGGTGGTTTACCTCAGGTACCTTGCACCTTTTAAAAGGGTTAAACAACAAGGTTTTATGCATTAATTAAATTACTTAATTAATATTGCAAGCTATTATGTGTGGTAATTAATAAAAGTAATAACTGTTTGGTAAATAAATTAATATTTCCCATAAATATTGTACAAAAATCAATAAAAACTTAATTATAAAAAATTAAAAATTCATTTAATATCATAAATTATGATTCATAATATATTTTAAGAATCGGTATAAAAATAGACAATTCTATTGAATACAATCGTATAACAAAACCACCTGTTTATGAAAAATCAAATTCAAACACAACAACCATATAATCAAAAGTTATATTATATAAAAATATATTTTCATTATAAAAAAACTACTGCAAAACACATTCGCATAATATATCTGTCAATACAAAAGAGATTCCCGTTTTTATGAAAAAAGTTAACACAATTAGAAAAACCTATAAATTTTGTTCACAAAAAAGTTAATTAATTAATTTAAGACATATTCCTCGACAGTCATATGGAGTATATCTTATGGCACTTATTATAACTTCTGGATCAACATCGCGGACGCGCCGCCACCACCGTTACAAATGGCTGCCATTCCGTACTCATTGGGCTTCAGGTGTAGCGCCAAAACGTTGACAATACGAGCGCCGGAACAGCTGGTGGTGACAAACAAGACACAGATTATAGAGAGATATATATCATGACATATTTCAAAAATACGTTGACATTCAATCAAAGCCAATACAAACACTGCAATTCACACTTACCCTAATGGGTGGCCGAGGGCTACGGCGCCGCCGTTCGGGTTCACCTTTTCGGGGTCCAACTCCAGGTGCTTAACGTTGGCTAAGCCAACGGCGCTGAACGCTTCGTTGAACTCCCAGTGCGCGATCTGAGACTTGTCCAGACCTGCCTTCGCCAACACCTGTCATATATCCATCCATAGGACGTGCCATAGAGTTGTGAGGGGCGACGG